CAGCCGGAGCAAAGTATTTTCTTCGTGTTTATTGACTTGTACATGCGCGTTTGGGTGTTAGAACATTTCTAAGAATTTTAGTACTTAGCCATAAAGGTGTGTTTACACTACGGCCGTGAACGCGAACGAACGCGAATTCGGTTTACTAAGGATTAAGTGTAAACAGTGCGCTGAACGCGAACGAACGGCCATTTGTACTATTCGTTAGCCTTCGGTGCGGTTCGATCGGTTAGCGGTTCGATCAAAAGAAATTACATTCAGTGTGATTGTCATTCGGCCCGTCACAACAGATTCGCTTGTGTTCACCTGCATTTGAAGTTTTAATAATCAACTGTTTTTTAGTGCCATATTTATTCGTATATTAATTGATTGGTAATTAAATATTAATTTATAAATTATGGATTTCTCTGACAATCAGTGTATTACGCTAATTAATTTATACAAAGCGCGTCCTATTCTATGGGACCCATCAAATTCTAAGTATAAATTAACGAAACTTAAAACTGATTTTTGACTCGAATTAGCAAGCGATATTTAATGATTTCACGACCACGAAACTTGCTAGTCATTAGAAAATCGTCTTCGCTTCATGACATTATTATTAAACATTTTAAAAACACAAATAGTATTCAAAATCAATGTGTGCTACTTATTCACACAACAGTTGAATTTATACTAAATAATATTTTGAAACTCAAATTCCGAGCGAAGGCAAACGAATGCTGAAGAATGAATATGAACGAATAGTCTGCACGGTGGGACCGAATCTTTACCGAATTCGCGTTCGTTCGCGTTCACAGCCGTAATGTAAATGCACCTTAATATAAATATTAAATATTACCCTCATTTCGAACGCTTATCAGCCAATGAGAACTAATTACTACGGAACGAAATAATAATGTATTGTAATATTTAAAATTATTGTTAAGAATAAAATAGATTATAATAAGTAAATTTATGTTAGCACAAACCAAATAGTATTAGTTATTTTCAACTATTCTGCCAGCTAAGTTCAATTTTTCTGGTTGGTGATTATTTTTTTGAATTTTAAAATGAATGAAGACTGGCGTTTGGGTAAAAAAGCACGACTCAGGCTATGTGCACTACGGAAAAAACTTAATTTGGCCAACTTGAAACGAAAAAAACGCGAAAAATGATGAGGTTATTATAATATATATTGATTGATAGATAATGAATATACTCCTTGTATTAATTTACAAATAAAAATCATTTTGTAAAATAAATTTAGATTAATGAATTTATTTATTTAATAATGATGTATATTTTTTACTTTTTACTTCAAATTTTATTTATAACAACTCTATAACGTTATTGAGTAAAAATATTGCTTTAATTTTTGACTTCAGCCCCTCATTGAAAAGAAAAATTCATCTAGTTGGTACCTTGGGGGAACAAAAGTAAAAGTTCCAGAAGTTTTCAAAAAAGTAACGGAAAAACGAGAATTTTTACACATAATCATTTTTTAACAAAATCGAATTATTTATTTTGCTGTAACTCAAAAACGAATCATTGTAAATACTTTAAATTTTTACCAAATATTTATATTAGCGTTATGTATGTACAATTCAATTTTCAAAATATTTTGACTTTTAATGCTATTTATAGGCAATTGAAATTTTCGATTTTTCTAAGTTTTGTATGAAATGCCAATAAAAAAAATTTGACAATCCAAAAAATCTTTAAAATTGAATAAAAGGCTTATTATAAGTTTTACTTATCGCATTAAAAAAAAATAAAAAAACGTTAGTCACAACTTTTGTTTATAAGCAAACATTTAAGTGGATCAAATCACACGTATTTTTCGTATTTTTCAAGTTATGAGTCCAAGAATATATTTCATTTTTCACGATTTATTGACATGTGTGTGCGCGTGCGAGAGAATTGTTATACTTATTTATTAGTTATACTTTTTTAAATAATTACATAAAAAATAAAGTTATGTAATAACGAGAAAGCCGAGATAGTGATTACTATCTAAGTACTATAGGTACTATAGTTACTATGGTATAAGTCAGTGGTGGCCAAACTACGGCCCGCGGGCCAACTCCGGCCCGCCATCATTTAATATCTGGCCCGCGAAAGTCTTCTATATTACAGCACTTATTTGTATAACTGTAATATTTTGCATTTACGTAAAAAAAAAATTTAGAATGCATTTTTTTATGGCCCGCGATAAAAAAAAGTTGTTTTTTATGGCCCGAGGAAAAAAAAGTTTGGCCACCACTGGTATAAGTATTGATAAAAAATATCAAATATTTAATAAATTATAGTATATTTAATCATTGGTATAAGACTATAAGATAATCCATGCATACGTATGTAGGTAATGATATTTGTATAATATTTTAAAATATATTATCGTAGTTCCGGGAATCCATAAAGCTGTCGACCGATAGGCAGTGGCATGCGACAGTGGATTACACAGGTTAATGTTTATTTACTACTCACGCAATGACAGTTCAAATGTACATGTGATATGAATTGCCTAAATATTACTCCTTAAAACGTGCTATTTTGGAGCCATGCAACATGTAAATAATTTTACTTCTAATATTTATTTTAATTTATATATTGGTAATTTAATTATTTGAACCTATATTGTAACTTCTCACGTTTACTATATAATATACTATATAAAGTTAGCTATGAACAAATAATTTAAATTATGTAGGTTCATTTTAATCAAAAACACTTATGGTTCAAAGCTTGTATTTTTAATCTATTTATTGAAAACTTATAACAGCTTGTTTGTAACTTCTATTTTAAATAATATTGTTCATGTTCAGGTTATGCAAAGTACTTAAAAGTTGCTGAACAGTTGGGAACAAAGAGTTCTTGGAAAACTTATTAAGTCAGATCACTTTTGTAATAGTTATGTTGGCAACTAGAGCTTTAACTACGTTTCAGATACAATATGCACAGATAAACAAAGAATAAAAAGTATAGCATTTAGTTGTCATTATTATTGTTATTATTATAATTATTGGTTTCACCAATACATTTATAGTCAGAAAATGTTTGTCAAAACGAATCATTAAAACCATTAAAGTCAATATTTAAGAAACCTTTAATGAGATGTCCTTTAACAATATAGATCATTTTAATAAAATTACAAAAATATGAGTTAGTAGTGAGTTATAAACCAGGTAAAGAAATTTTAATGCATACACCTTAAGTTGAATAAAAGCAAAAGAGGATAAAACATTTGATAGTTGGGAGAAAAAAAAGAGATGGCAATATCCATTGAACAAATACCAATTACTGAGGGTAAATAGATGGAGTTTGGTAAAGAAACTGAGCTTGAGGAGAATTGTGTTAAAATAACATGTAAAAAAAAGATGGCCTGAAAAAAGAGAGTTGCTTGAAAATAAAGTAAAAAATGATTGGGACTCAAAGGAGCTTATAACAGAATATGATGGCTTATTTTATGAAGCGATTCGGATAATTGTACCAAAGACTTTAAGGAATGAATTATTAGCCTAAATACACTACAATCACATGGGAGCAGAAAAATGCAAATATAGGGCTAGAACATGTTTATATTGGCCAAGTATGAATTGAGACATAGAAGATAAAGTACAAAAATGCCAGATCTGCTTAAAGTATAAAAATATAATTCTAATAAACCATTAGTGTGCACTGAAGTACCATAGGATGTTGTGGGGACAGATTTGTTTCAAAATAAAAACTATCAAATGATCTTTGATTGTTTTTCTAAATTCATCAAGCTTATAATGATATGAAAAATAAGTAAATAAATTATTTGCTAGGTATGGCATACCTAAAATTGTCAGAACTGATGAAGAACACATATATTTCAGAGGAATTAAAAAAATAAACCAAAAAAATGAGGAATTAAGCACATAAAATCTAGTCCAACTAATGATAAATCTAATAGTATGGTATATAAAAACAGCATAAAACATATTAAAAAAATTCTGAAGAGGATAAGAAAGAATTATATTTAGCTATGCTTGAATTGAGAAATATACCCATAGACAAAGATATTCAATCACCATCAGAAATTTCTATGGAAAAGAGAGTTAATAGTTTGCTTTTAAGAAAATAAATCAAAGAAAACTTTGTAGAGATTAGAAACAAATTGGTTAAGAATCAAAAACAACAGAAAATTAATTATGATAAAGGTTTAAAAAATTGTAAGAATTAAAAGCAGGTGACAAGATTTATTTACAAAAATAGAGAAATTAGGAACCAGGATTAATAAAAGATAAAATAGAGGATAGGAGGTCATATGTTGTAAAATTAAATAAATTAGATAAATATTGGAGAAATAGAAGACTGCTACAAAAAATTCCAAAAGTAAAAAAAAATAAATAGTAAAAATTTTGGGAAAGAAAAAATGGGAACCGAGGAAAAAAGGGTTGATCCCTTAAGGATTAAAAAATTACAAATAAAAAACAACAACTTTCTTACAAATAATACAACTAAATGATTGATTTTTTTAATTTTAAAAAATTGAACATTGCTATGTATTTTTTTTTTAGAGTAAATTTAAATTTTTTTTAATATGTAGGTAATAATAATAATAATACCATATGATAATATAATAATATAATATAATATTTCTAATATGTAGTTACTATTTAAAAATCATAATTTAATCGAAAAAAAAGAAATTGAAAATATATAATTATAAGTCAAACATTTAAATAAAACTTATAAAATATATAAATTATTATACTTAAATACAGACCTTTTATTTTTATGTTGTTGTCCTATGGAAATTAACCATAATTAGAACATTTCATAATTGATAATATTTATACTTTATTTATATTTATACATAATATATATATAATAATACGAAATAGACAACATTTCATTTTACCAAATTTAAACTATAAAATATTATGTAAATATATATGCATATAATTTATAATAATAATATAGTTTTGTGTGTTCTACATTTAAAACACGTAATATTCAAAAAACATCACAAATGAAATGGCAAACGGATCACTAGCGCCTAGTGGCGAATTACTTCGGTAGTGCAACAGACAAAATTCATTACTTTCCTTTATCAGGTGGACGGTGATTTCTATTTTATGTTCGTGGTCGAGACGCGCGAACCCGGCGCTCACGGTTATCGCTCGCTATCAGTGTTGTTCTCGAATACTTGAATAGTTTTCACGGTTAGCAGCACTGTTAGTCGCGAGCGTCGGAACAGAGTTGGTCGGCCATATATGAGGGTTCTGTCTGTTGCGTTTACCACCACCACCGCGGCCGCACACTAGGGGTACACAACCCGTCATCTATCTTCAACATTTGATTGACCAATAATCGCGCGCCATCGTCGTCCCTACTGTTTTTACGACTGTTTTGCGACTATGATAGTACGCATGCATCGTGGGTTTCCGTTCAACGTGATATCCGACCGCCATATCGTGTCATTTGCAAATTTGTTGCAGCGATCGTGAGCCAGCGATATCGTTTGGATACGATATAATCCATGAATTTTTGTTTTACACGTTTCACTGCAAGCAATTAGACGTGGATATGATTACTTCCTATGTTTCGGTATGTACATCAAATGTTTTTTGGAACGCAAATTCGCGTTCGGGGAACAAATAGCATGAGCTTGTTGAAATCAATCAGTGTTGTTCTGCTCGCTGTAGCTAACATTGTTCAGTATTATTATTACTAATGTTATCTCAGAAATAAACTGATATTAAATTATTCAGCAACAAATTAACATGTCTTGCTCCGGGTAGTTATCTTATATGGTGAACGGAACGCTATATAGGTGCATAGTAAACGGAATTACCCTGTCTTCTAACTTAACAATAAGTGAGTTATCAATTTTAATGTATGTTTCCATAGTAAAAAGTAATTAATTTTTTATAAATAGCCAAACCCTGGTTGATACCTATTTAACATTAACATTAATTTGTTATACCATGCGTACCATCACAATGATTGATACACTTTGTAGTAGCACATATTTAAAAGATGAAAAGAAGCATTAGTTTAGTATAGGGATGGGAAAAATGATTCGATTCATTTTAATTGATTCTCTAAAATGATTCTTTTACTGATTCACATTTGATAATTTATATAGTATTCTCACATAGTCTATAGTGGTTCATACTAAGTAATCATGTACCTATATTTAATTGTTACATTTTGTTACACCATTCCTCTAGTTAATTATCAAAATGGTTTTATTTATCTAAAATGTTTTTGGTATTCTATTTCTGAGACAAAGAATAAATCACTACATTATATACTTACAGTAACTATTTGTGATGTTGTCCGTTGACACCTTGAACTTGAAATCTCAGTAAGTGGTATTAATGAATACTAATATTATAATACCTATATGGATACTGCTGTCTGGTATTATAAATAAATATAATATTATAGTATAATTTATTACTTGTAGTATGAATGTATAATATTAATTCAGAACTTCATATGTATTGAAAATGATAAATGAAAAAAAAAAACTCCTTAATATTGTTTATATTTATATTTTATTATCAATTATCACACTATTGTATAGCAGCATAGAGCAATCTAATAAATATCCGTGTCACACATTCAATTTTAAATTTTACATTAAAACATAATGTAAATTTTGAAAACGCTTTAAATATATAATAATATAACTGCCAAGAAATGGAAACAAATAATAATAACTATGAATAAGCAGTGTCTTCTTTTTTTTTTTAAAAGTAAAAATATATCCATGTCGAGTATTTTTGAAAAATTGTGTTGTACAATATGGCAGGTGACAGAAAGGAGTTTTTGTAATGTGTTCCAAAAAACCAAATCGAAGAAATAAAGTAATACATTTATTATTTATCTTAATTCATAGTAATAACCTGTTGCAGATAAGCTATTTTTATGCTACTATGGATCACCACTGTCAAAAAATAGAAAATATTCAATCAATAAAATGTACATAGTAAATATTACAATTTCTATAACACAGCTAATCTGTATATTTTAAACTCAATGGTATTGTCTATAATTAGTAAAAGGAACATGTATACTGGGCTATTCATAATGAAACCCCAATGAAATCTATTTCTATATAGTAGAAAGTAAAAACCATTTATTTAAAAATGAGTTCATCCAATACTTATATTCCACCTTTGAAAAAAAAAAAAAAAGACTTAATTCCTCCAGTATCAGTTGAAGTAAAGTGAGTGTGTCATTTTTTTTTAAAATTATATCTTTGGCTATTATTAAAATTGTTTATAATTTGTTTTAGACATGAATCAGTTCCTAATTCTTTACCAATTGATAGTGATCCGTGTGATTGTCTTGATACTGATTGTCCTGGATGTTTCTTGCCATGTGAATCGTGTGGATCAGTAAAATGTGGAGTATTTTGTCGGTTAGTTAAGTGAAATATACTTATAAAATAATTCATTGAAAATTAATTACTAATATAGATATTTAATTTGTTTCAGAGTTGGTCGCGATTGGAACAATGTATTTATCAAAGTTGACGGAGAGTATTACTTTCCGCAAGATGTAGAAACTACTACTTCCTAGAATTATTATTTATTAATTATTTAATTAATTATCATTTATATATTATTTTTTAATTATATTATTTAATTAATTAGTTGATGAATTATTTCCTTGCATGTTGCCTAAAATATGTTATTTGAAGTTCTATTCTACTGATTTATTTTATAACTATAAGTATTTTTATGATGATCAATTAATATTTTTTGGCCAATATAATACTTAATGTAATTTTTGTACATTTTTTTTAATTTAATTTATATTTTTATGGCTCAATGTAGTTAATTAAGTTTTCAAAATATTTTTTAAAAATTATTGTAGTATTAAAAAATTTTTTAAACCATTTTTGGTTTTTAAAACATTTTAAAAACCATGACATTTTTTTTGAACCATTTTTAAAAAAATTTAGAAATGTATTAAAATTTATATTTCACAGAATGTATATAGATGATATTTTAAAAACTTCCAAGCATTTTGATTTTTTATTAAATTAATTAATTATATCCATTCATATTTACACTTGTATTTAAAATCTAATTGTAAATTAGTTTAAAGGAAAAGCATGCATTTAAAATAATAAATTGTATTATTATAAATAATGTTAACAAAATGAATATGTCTTTAGAATATTAATAATTTTTATAATAAATAATAGTGCTATATATATATATTAACAGTTGAAGCCACTTAATGGGGTCACAGGTAGTGATTTATCTGTCTCCATTCTCAATTGTCTCAATAAACAGATTTTTAAAAAAAAAATTTAAAACTATTAAAGTGCATTATAACTTTATTATCAGAAATATACATAGGTACTTGATTTATACTTTGTTTAAAAACTATTTGTAATACATATTATTATATAATTTATATTATATGTACATATTTATTATAAATTGAATAACCAAATTTATTTTTACAAAAGAAATACGTATGTTATTTATTTTTTGTTGGGCTGCATAAAATCATATATTTTCTTTGTTGTAATTTATTAAAACTGTTTATTGACAAAGTCTGCACAAATTTTCAGTGAATTTTTTTGGATTACTTTCGTTTCAATTTCGCATGAAATATAGTTTTAGCTGATTAATGCGTTTTTCTGTTTCCTTAGTTATTTTGACACATCGAACATCGTCTTCATCACTTTCTTAATTTTCATTGAAGCATTACACATTATCATCAATGTTTAAAAATAACTAGTTTATTTATTTTAATCAATTAATTATGATAGTAGATGAATTTAGAGTGAAAAATACCATTTTCTTTTTCTGTCCTGTTTAAGAAAATTATTTAAGTAAATTATTATGAAAAATCTTTGGCATTATTTGATGAATTATATCAGAGATATTGCACGTTCTAGTCTAGTAAAAAATGTAATCTGTAAATAATGAGTCAACATTGAAAATAAATGATCATAAATAACATGCAGTGTATTCTCAGTAAAATGTATCAAATTTAATTTTTACTACATTGAATATAAATAATATTATATTAAATACAAATTTATATATAATTTATTTGAAATGTATTGAATTATTACCACTTTTTTTTTTTTCAAAAGTCTTTGTCTTGCATTAACTTTTTTTCAAAGATTTTTAATTCGTCAATATCTGTTATGGAAATTTATAAATACTCTCATCAACTGGATAATTACATAAATAATTGTCCTGAATATTGTATTGTAAGTCATTGTTTATATAAGTCTACCAGGGGTGTCATTGATTTACCGAAAAAAAGAAAGTTATTGTTTATCTGCACATTTTTAGTCCTATCAAATTTAGTAGTACATTTTGAAATATTTATGATAACTTGTTTAATATTAATTACCATATGATTAACATTTACATTAACATTAACAGCTTAATAATTATGAAAAAATATATAATTATTGATAAATTTTTAACTATCTTTAATTTCCACTGGTGGTTATAATAATTATTATATGTATGAAATTAAAGTACTGTCAAAAAGTAAAAATAAGGAATTTAAATAGAAATCTACAAATAGCGAATACTTGTAATAATTCATATTGAGTAATGCCTATATATTTATATATTATATAATAATTTAATACCTCTACTTATAATAGTAAAATATTGAAATATACAAAAAAATTTGGAAATTTTATTTGTATCATTATGAAAATGTATGCATTAGCAAATTACTTGTACATAAATCCACTTTAATAAAATATATAAGTATAACATATTACTTTTGTATATATGTACTATTACTCATTTTATAAAGTGTTTAGAAAATGTATTTTCAGAAATATGTTTATAAGACACAAAAATAATATTTTTAAGAAAATATTTTGTAAATATTTTCATCATCTAATGCTATGTGGAATTGAATCTTACCAAACTTTGGAATTTCAATCTTTTTCAAATTTGATTTTAAATAATTTGTTTAATTTGTACATGTGATTGTTATTGTTATTATGCAAATATTACTATAATGTATTAATTAAGAGTTTAAACTAATTATTTTTATATACTTTAATGCATTAATATTTACTTAAATACTCACCGGCTATAATGTACCATATTTTGAACATTTCAAATTTATTATAGTGTTTACTCTATTTGAGTTTATCTATGTTTGTTATAGTATACATCAATGCTATAATGAAAACTTTAACTACACTGTTAACGTAGAAAAAATCATGATTCCAACTGCTATAGAAGATTATCCTTGAAGTCCGTTACGTATTGATGCTGGAATTTATTTTAACTGTATGTAACACTACATTTAGAATATTTCAAATCGTAATAGGAGTATGCATTTAGTGCACAGGATTTTTCATTTTATGTTAAGGTCATTATTTTGTAATGGATTCTTGTTTTAGTTATGTAACGTTATTTCCAATTATATTAGGTATCTGTTGATAAATTGGATGGCGATATTCATTTTGATAATAATATTTATTATTTGTCTTTTAATTTTAATTTAATATTTTTTTAGCCGTAAAAATATTTCATTATTTATTTATTAATTATTTTTTATTGTCATCTTTACCATGAGGATCATAAAAAAAGTAACGTTACAAAAGTTCTGTAAACCAGGGGATACTTTTTTTTCAATATTAACATACGTCATATTGGGGAAATATGATTCGATTTTCGATTATTCACGGTGAATTTAAAAGATGGATAGAACGACGAAAACTCCCGACACATATCGTCTTTACAATATCCAGTTGTTTTTCAAAGTAGGATATATCAATGAATTTAAATTACCTATATAATATTAGTTATTTGGCTGTTATTTTAATACATATCATATCTAATGTCAAATAACATTTTATTACTTAACAATTTTACCCTACTTAAATGGTGGGGGGGGATCAGTTGCAAACAAATTATTATGGAAAAAAAATTCCTAAATTTAAGTACTTGCACATTTAAATAAAAAATAATATATATATATATATATACATACAGTAAAACTTGCTTAAGACTTATGCGGGAATGAAAAAATAAATGATGTGATTGAAATATCGAGTTTATTTTTTTATTATTAAACATGATTTAATAGGAAATACACTTATAAATTAATTCTAATTACAATATTCATCTATTTTTGATTGTTTAAGGTTCTGACAATGCGTTTTAGAAAGAAAGTTTTCAATTTTATTAAGGCAACCTAACATTTCTTCGGAATTTTCAACAGAGGATAATCCGAATTTCTGATAGTTGTTGCAAACTAGCAGTAATTGTAAGAGTAGATAAAATAGATATAGCGATAAAATAAAACGATAAGAACACGTATAATACTAAAAATTTTATTTTTATTTCACAAAACTATTAACATTTATTGTAGTATGCTAAACAAAAGAGCATTTTACCTGATTAGACAGAGAAAAACTGAGCGTCTTAACAGGTGGTTTTTACATTGACTAGTATAGTAAATGTCTAGGGACCGAAGAAAAGCGTCTTATGCGGGAAAGCGTCTTAAGCGAGTTTTACTGTATGTATAGATATTGAATGTGTCAAAATTAGAGCTTCCTATTTTACGTGTATACGTTTTCACGTGTTCACGTGAAATTAAGGTTAATCATTGATTATAAATACTTTGTATGTATTTATAATCAATTGTTTAATTTATAAAACCTGTTGCTTTAATTTCACGTGTATTTATAATTTTATTCACGTGAATCCGTTAATTTATATAATCACGTGAATACATACATTTACATAATCACATTCGTCGCCATCGGTCCTCGTATGTAATGACTATGGATAAACTAGGTCTAATATTAAGTACAACTGTTTAGGTACGTTTAGTAAATAATATTAATAACTAATGTTAATTAATATACATAAAACTTCATGAAACAAATTTTAGCAAATAGATAATGTAAAAAAATAGTATGTGTTATGAATGTGTGAATGCGTGTGTGTGTGTGTGTGTGTGTGTGTACTGTTGTTGATCGTGAAAATGGTTTATTAATAAATTGTCATACGGCGATAGCGCAATTTGGTGTGGTTTTATTAGGCCTAAACAATATTACTATACTGCATATATAATATCTGAGCGGAACTTGATTATTTTATATTTGCATACATTGAGGTCAATATTTAGGACATCAAGTATTAAAGAAAATTAACATTTATTTAAATAAATAATTAAAAATATATTTTATTAATTACCTTTTTTCTATGGATTCTTGTGGTGGTTTAATACCATGAACACTTTCTAAATGTCTGATTTAAGACCCCGTAGTGCCGCCTACGCAAGAATATTCATTGTTACCATCACCGTCACATAAATCGCAAAAAGCGCGATCACCTTCACGTTTAGCATAATCCCATTTTTTCACCATTTTCACCAAGAAAACTTTTATTTCTTTAATGAATACCGTCATTTAAAGGTTGCACGCAAACTAAACGTGTCGTATACTACGTTAATATCTAATTATTATCAAGGTTTCATTACATACATATAGGAATTTTTATTTGTATATATGATAATTGTTTACGATTGTATATTGTACAATTGTAACTTGTAACGTTCAGTCAAAA